ATTATAATCTGTTGGCCGATTTCGACAGGGATCGGTAATTCACCGTGAAATGATCAAATGATTATTTTGAAGTTGCCATCGTTGGACGATCCTTTATACGATATGCGTCTGGGCCGGATTACCTACCGGTAGTCACCGATCCCTTCATTACAATACTTTTTTATCGTATAGGTATATCGTACGCCGATCTCGGGTAACTCGAGAGAAAATCGGTAAGAGTCCCTCGGCGGTCGGTAAGCGATCCTTTCGCTTTGCATATGCAAGCGCGGTTAACATAATACGGTGTACATACCCACAAGCGTAAGGAGAAAATCGGTATAGGCCGCGTCGATACTTACCAACCGAGCGCAGGACGATCGCTCCTCGATCCTGCGCGACTTTCTCCCTTGGTTATATACAAAAATAATAATCTCGGTTCACCCGCCCGAAGATGACGCTGCGATCGTCGTCCTGCTTGTACGCGTCGCTCCGTTTTGTATATAGCATCGGTAAAGGATCGCGCATTGATACGCACCGATTGGATAATTAGCCCAGCCGTTAATTAAATCGTTAAAAAATGCCTACTTAGAGAAAGAAGACGACAGCAAAAAAAGGAACGGGTGAAAAAAGTTGACGAGCTAGTTGGAATGCCACACGCGTGTGTCAGTTAAATAGCGATATACTATACACTAATGAAGCGGTTTGCGCTGGGATTTTTCTCGGAACTCGCATATTACGCATTCCGCGCGCTCTGTTTTTTTTTTGTCCGTCTAGGCACCTAATGTATATAATATAATATACACACGTGCAACATTTTTTTGCAATCAGCGCGAGTTTGCCACTGCACGAGATATTGTTGTTGTTGTTACTTTTGTTTTTTCTTGTCAAAATCTCGTGTTGTATTATATTTGAAATACAGCGACTCGCGTGAAAGTATAACTCGTATAGATTATGAATCCGACCTGCCAATATGCATACGAAGTTTATACGTATTTATGCAAAATATTGAGCAACGCGTAACAATGGCGCGTTAATTCGAGGCTTATAAGAGTTAAAAAAGCTCCCGTACGTAATACAGAATGCAACGTATCGCGTATTCGAGACTTCCGATGGCTGAGTAAATTGATTTTGCGCAATTAAATCGTTAATCGATCGGCCTTTTAATAGCTTATCTATAACTTTTTTTTTGTTTATTCTCAGAATCGGTAGCCCTCAGTGTTTATAAGGCTAATAAACTTCCTATATTAATTCATCTCGAGAGTCGAGATATTACACTTTGTTCGTTGCGCTGCGTTCTCTTACATAAAATCTATATACCTATCCATATTATACGATATTATACCTGTCCCAGGCTCCGCTGCTGCTGGGACTTAACTCTGCGCGCGGCATATTGCGGCACTAATACCAATAAATATCGTAACTCATAATACGCGCTACACTGGCTCGAGCTTTTGCTTCGACCGGTCAAAAAGCGACGTGCCGCTAATGCGCCGCGGCACTGCACTTCCTCATCGTCGTCGCTGCTGCTGCTGCTGACCGCGTGCGAAGGAAGTTTTATCGTTGCGTCGCTTTCGCAAGTGGCAAGACGCGTGTGACGCGCGCTAATCCTCGAGAGCGATATATGTTATTTTTTTCTCTATCGCGTACACGGGTCCGAATAAAATTCGTTATTGATCGAGTGCGCACTCGTGGAGCTTACGTAAAGCACGAGGAATATTTCGAAAATATTTCGTAAAATCGAATGTGCGTTACGAGTTAGACGTCGATGAATTTATTTATTTATTTATTTATAATCGGTCTCTATAAATTCGTCGATTATCTACGCCTACACGTCTATTTGTCCATAATAATAATTAACACGTCAAATTGTCGTGCTACGATCATCGCCGCTCGCCCATTGTCATTGCAATAACGTCTCGTTTTATCGCCTCGCGTGTCGGCGGCGGCGGCGGCGTGTTTATGGCAAATGCATATACACGTATGCGCATACATTATCGTGTCGGAGCTCGTGTGTGTGCCACCACCGAGCCATCACTCTGAAAATTTCACGTATTTTTTTTTTATCGTCGTCGCTTCGAGTGATTTTTTTTATTATTTCGACGTGATTAAATAATCATTAACGTCTCGCGACGACAACGACGACGACGACGAAAACGGGAGCCGCGAGGTCCTTCACCTTCAATTACACAGCTATTATATACATAATCCGCGCGGCGGCGCGTCGATGATATATTATTATGTCGTATAAATGTAGGCCAGACGACGACCTTTCGATTTCTTTCTTCTCTCTTTTTTTTTGCCGCTACTCCTGCTTGTAATGCGGTGATAATATAAAACTGCGCGCTCATCGCTCAGCGGAAAGGATCAGCCGAAAATAAACGGCACACGGTAAAAAAAAAATAAAAATAAAAAATAAAATTAAGGTTCATTACCCAGCTCTCCGCGAGAGAGACTGCATAATATATAAATAACGCTCGTTTTCGCGTGAAAGTTCGCCAGGAGAGTCATCTTCTCCTTTAGACTCTTCTGTGTCTGTCCGTGTGCATATACGTATTATACGTTCGAACGTGATGCTGCATCAGCAGCAGCCCCGCAGGTGTAGATCTTCTGGTCTTTATAAGAAAATCGCTTTCGCTGCGACGGCAACGGCGGCGGCGATGACCAACGATGGCCCCGAGGCGCAGCATGAATTCTAAAGCCCACATTATGTATATACACACACACACATGTGCACTTTCCCATTGTGACTCTTTCCTGGTTGTTGTTGTGTTGCAGCAGCAGCAGTTGGATCTGCCGGAGAGCTTATAACACGATGGTGCATAGTGCAGTATACGCGGCTACGACAGCGAGACATCATCGCGCGCCTTTTATCCTATTATGTAGCTTTATGGGCTCATCTCGTACATGAACACACACACACACACACACACACACACACACACACACACACATTTCCCTCGGTGCGCTCATAGCGAGAAAATGAGCCCGGGCCATGATGCACACACGGCTTTCCCCGCGAGCCGCGCGACTGATTACGTAAATCGACTTGTGTGTGTGTGTGTGTATGTGTGCACGTCGCCGAGAGGGTATACAGCATCTCGCGACCGAGAGCGATTATAAAGCACTACTTCTAGGCCTGCTATTTACGCCTCTCTCACTCTCTCATTGGTGGCCGCGTCGCGGACCTATTAGACCCGTGTGTGAGTGTGTAGGATGCAGCTCTCATTAGCATAAGCAAAAATAAAACGACCACGACGACTCTCTAAGTACCGACGAAGCGAGGACATGTCATATTATATGTATGTGTACAGTTCCGCGGGCAGTTGTAATTTGCAAGGATGGCCTTTCCGCGTTGTGTACTTTTGCGCTCCATACACGATAGTTGTCGTTGCTGTTGGTTTTTTTTCCTGCGGACGAGTATGTAGATGCGTGTTTTACAACCAGCCGCGAATGGATCCCGCGCACGATGCACCGCGAGCGAGCTTCGGAGATATATCCTCGCTCGGCAGCTGCAGCAGTGAAAGTAAAAGAAGTGCAGAAAATACATGTGTGTTTATGTATGTGTGTGTGTGTTGTGTACGTGTTGTTTCTCTCCCCCTCGAGCGGAGATTCTCAGCTGATGTTTTTATATATTCATTGTCCTCTTACATGTTCGCGCGCGCGCGAGAGGCAGGCGTGCGCACACGAGACGCGACGAGCTTTGCCTTTCCCTGTAATATCAAACATTTTAGAAACTCTCTTCTTTCTTTCTTTTCTTTCTCTTTCAAGTGTGTGCATGTGTGTATGTGTGTGTGTGTGTGTGTGTGTGTGTGTGTACCTTTGCGTGATTGTTGTATAAGTTTCGCCGGTTCGCAATTATATCTCTTGTGTGCAAGATTGCGCAATCCGTTTGATGCATGTAATTTTTTTGTTTTTTCATTTAGATTCTTAGGCTCCATTAGGTAAGGGTGGTAGGGTTTTACTTTGTGAATGAATCCTCTCATGTTATTTTTTTTCAAGTTTATGTAAAAAAATACATAAAAAAGCTTTATTTCGCCACCGTTTTTCTTGCAAAAAAGAAGGTATAAAAAATGGTAATCATAGAAGGGGTCGAAGTTTGCCGCCTGTCGACTAGCCTGCACGTTATATCCATTTTTTTTGTCATTTTTTTTTAAATATCAAGCTGCAGGTTTTTTCATTGCCCAGCGACAGCGACAATTGTTTGATACTTCGACCCCCCTTTTTATAGTCGTACATAGCGCTTTATAAAAACACAAAAAGAAAAGAATCGAATCGCATTAATATCGTCGTCCGATGCTACCGCATGGCTTGCACGTGGATGTCGTGCATTATTAATATATAGGCCATCGACGAATCATTAATTTGTTCTTTCTTTTTTTTTTTTTTTTTCAACACAAATCGCAGAAAATATCTCTTGGCCAGCATTAATATAATACAGTCGCAGTACAATAGCAGTCAAGGAGTCCAGCCGTCTCTCGTTCACTAGCTCCTGTGGTTGTGTGTGATTATGGTACAAAAAAATGGTACTTCGAATCTCGAAAGTATATAAAAAAAATTAATAAAAAACAATGTATCATCACGAAGCTCACATACTCTCGCATACTCTATTTATACATTACAAAAAAAAAGTTTAAAAAACAATTATTTAACACGGACTTGCTCTCTGCTAGTTTTCGATCCAGCACAGGCTCAGCGCGCGCGAGCACAGTATATAGATTTACTTGGCACTTTTTTTTTCTCGCTCTCTCTCTTCCCTGTCTCGATCGTCGACGCGTGTGGTGTATGTGTGTAGCTGTGAGTGGTGTGGGGGCGCAGAGTCGTAAGTGTTGTTTCTGACGTCGACGCGAGAGCAGGACAGAGAAGATGAAAAAAAAAACAAACAAAACAAACAAACGAGACGATGAGATGATCTTCTCGGTACAAAGACAATATCAAAAAAGTATAAGCTGGGATCGTCGTCGCCGTCGTCGGGTGGAGTTGGGAGGAAGAAGATCGTTTTATCTCGGCTGATTACGGATTGACTAGTAGGGGCCCGATTGACCGGGTGGGCCGTAGTTGGAGCTTGGGGCGCCACCGCCACCACCACCGAGTCCTGAGCCTCCGTGGCCACCGCCAAGACCGCCGGAGCCGCCGTCGAGTCCGCCCAGACCTCCGTCAAGGCCGCCGGGACCGCCGCTAGGGTAGCCACCGCCGAGTCCTCCGGTACTGCCGCCGTCCTTCTGCAAAAAACACACATTTTTCGTTGAGCTTATTTTTTACTTTAGGTATTGAAATTATCGTGATATTCGACGAATAGAAAATTTACTCGACAGATTGGCAACACTGATAAAACATTAACTCAGGGGAGTCCCCTTTGACACGGACTTTTTGTAACTTCACTTTTTGATTGCATGCACGATGTATTATTAGGTAACAGGACACTCACCTGAGTCTTGTACTTGATGAAGTAGACCTCGGGCTTGCTGGGCTGAGTCGGTGCCTGAGTAGGCAGGGTGAATTCAGGCGCGTCCTCGGGCTTCTTAACCAGCACGTAGATCAGCGTCTTCTGCTCGTCTTGGGCGAGCTGCGGGATCACAGGGGCGGTTGGTGCGGGCGGGGTCGGTGCCTTGATGAAGATGATCTTGTAGTGCTTCTGGGCTTGTGCTTGGGGCTGATAGTTACGGATGGGTCTCTGCTCCTCGGGCTCTGGTGGCGGCACGTGCACGTAGATGTGCTTTTGGATGAGGGTGCCACCTCCGCCGCCGCCACCACCGAAGGACGAACCACCACCGAATCCGCCGCCGGAGCCTCCGCCGAAGGAGGAACCGCCGCCGAATCCGCCACCACTACCACCGCCTAATCCACCGCCTAATCCACCGAATCCACTGCCACCACCGAGGCCGCCGAAGCCTCCACCACCGCCGCCGCCGCCGCCACAGCCAGGGCCACCGCCGCCGGGACCTCCGCAGCCACCGCCGAAGCCGCTACCGCCACCTCCTGGTGCGCCGTAGCTACCGCTTGGCTGGCTGGGTTGGTTGTACGAGTAGCCGGCCTCCGGTCGTGCCAACGCCAACGAGGCCAGCGACAAGATCTGAGGGAATTTTTTTGTTTGTTGAAGCCAAACTTAGAGAAACTTTTCAACACTATTTTTTTTGTTTCGTATATTTTTTTGTTTCAATCACTGTTGTTAGTATTTTTATTTTCTTCACTATTTATTCGTACGCGCGTCCACGAGGTAAAAAGAATTTGATTTGAGAGGCCGAAATGAAAGGAAAAGGACGAAAGCGAGGATTGTAGTAGTTGTTATTTTTTTGAATAGAAGCCCGCAGCCGCGAAGCACAGGAAATTCAGAAAATCGAAAAACGAACGAACGAACGACGTGTCCGCGCCGACTTACCATGAATGCCCTCATGGTTGCTCTATGCTGTTGCTTGATTTGAGGACTGATGCTCCGCAGTTGTCTCGTGGGCCTCTTTATATACTCGATGCCACATGGGTATGGGTGCGAGTGTGTTCCGTAGTAGAGAGAGCCAAAGCTCGAGAAGAAAAGTGAGAGAGACCGAGAGAGATAGAAAATGAGTGAGTGAGAGTGAGTGAGAGAGAAAGAAAGAGAGGCATGGCCCCACTTTGCCGCCGTCCGCCCATCACCTCTTCGTATATATGATCCTGTATACTTGTACATACCGTTGCATGTGTGTATGTGTGTATACGAGATGCTCCTGCATATATTGCAAATCTCGGCTACTTACTACTGTACTCTTTCTCTTTCAGTGAGAGAGAGAGAGATGACCCCTTCCTTGATTCTTTGTGTAAGCGCGCGTGTGTGTGATTTTTTTTCTTTCTTTCTTTCTCTTTTTTTTTCGTTTTGCCCAACCACCGGGGGGCACACGAATTACGCATCTCGCCGTATAATGTACACACACACGCACACACAGACGCACATACACGAGCGATTAGACTTATTATACATCGCTCTATTGAATTGAATTTTCATTCATTTTCGCTGGACACCGTTATAACATTAATTACGAAACGCTATCGATGCGCTGCTGCTGCTGCTGCGTGAGCTATGTAAAGTATTCAATCGGCGAGGATGATCGGGGGGTCGGTCGCGCGCATACATTATTGCGCCTCGCGTGATTTTTGCTCGTGATGCGAGAGCCGGGGCCTCCTCTCGCGTAATTCAATGCAAATATTTAGTTGTGTGGATCCCGTAAGTCTCGTCGAGTGTGTGTGTTTGTACAGATATATAGACAAACTTTCTAGCCGAGCAATTCATAAAAAATTACTCACATTCGGAGTCTCATTAGAAGTAAGAGAGATAGAGAGATGAGTGCATGCCTGCTGGCGTATGTATATACTTTACAATCCGCGCGCGATGTCTCCTTACAGATGCTGCTGTTACTGCTCGAGCGCATAAACACTTCCTCTCCGTGTGAGTGTATACACGGATTCCCGTCGTCGTCGTCGTCGTATGAGACCCGAGACTTTTCATTCCTCCTTTCGCGTGCATTCGCCACTTTGTTTTATGCTAATTGTGTGTCTGTCTGTCTGTGTGTGTGTGCGCGCTTGTCAAAGTTGCTGCTGCTGCTGACTTGGATTATTATCCAATTGCCGTTTTAGAGAGAGAGGCTGGCGCTATACATAATAATGTGTATTTGATCGATTATCGTTGCGATGAATTTTCATCGATTTTTCTCAGCAAGGTCGAATTGACAATTTTAATTTTATTTTTTGAAAAGGATGATCGGTATCGAAAAATCGAAAAAACCTTCTGTCGAATAATCGAATATCCGTATACGAGATGCATGAAACGTGTGCACAACGTATTTCGAGTCTCAGCGATCGGCAATAGCTCGACGCGCGCACACACATATACAGACACATTAAACACGGAAAAGCCTTGAAAGGCCTTGCGGCATCGTCCAAAGAGCTCAGCGAGTGCAGTATCTTCTTCTTTCGCCGTCGTCGTCGTGCATGTTTACACGCTGCATTGTGCGTATATATGCGTGTGCATACAATAGCATCCATCCATCCAGCCTTTTTTTTTTTCATTTAATGGTTCGTCTCTCTTTCGGGCCCAAGGACTTCTCTTTCGGAGATCGGCATACTGAAAAATCGGCGCGCATCCATGCACATACATGTAAGTATACAACTCGCCAAAACGGAACTTTCTTTATGCCAGAGAGAGAGAGAGAGAGAGAGAGAGAGAGAGAGAGAGAATCTTGATTCGAGTATTTCACCTTATGTACAGACTACATCGACGGTATGTTCTCGATCCTCCTACGGGTACACACAAGTACGAACAATTATTTCTTTCATTTAATTTTTGCTCGTATACCTCGTTATGTGTATACACGAGTAAATATATTTATATTATCGTGATTATTATTCGAGAAATTTCTAGGATATATATGCCTCTCTCGCGCGACGATCGCACCGATTTCGGGAAGGGGCTCTGACTCGAAGCCGCCGCCGCCACAAGATCGTCGTGTTATAGTATATACACCGCATGCACACGATCATGGTTTGCATAACGTCCGACAATGTATACCCGCAAACTCGAGTACATGCGCGCGATCTAGTCGCGCGGGTATATATAGGAGTACGTGTCTCTCGTGTAGTACATCAACCGCGCATACTGCGCATGCTTTTCGCTGCTGGCGAAATTCCGCATTTTCGGCAATTTTTAACATTTTTTTTTGTTTTTACTCTCTTCTTTTCGTCAGAAGACAACGCAAGGTTGGCCGTTACCACCGGTGATTACATTACACGTACGTACGTATATGCACGCACGCGTACGAGTACCGAGGTATATTTATAGAACTAACGCAGGCGAGAGATATAAGTCGTGCAATTGAAACGCGAGAGCCGTAATAATTCCCCCCCGTTTTTTCGGGAGGCGCGCGTGAGAATGTGGCTAAAAAAAGACCGATTTAATTGAACGATTTGATACCGAGTTCTTGTCCATGTATATAACATAATAAATGCACAAACTTCGCGGTGCGATGTCTACACTGTATACGTACGCGTTAACTTTTCTCTTACGTCAGATTTGCATTATAAACCATCTTATGTGTGTGTGTTTATATTGCCGCGCGCGCGGGTATATTAAAATGATGAAAATGTTCTCTCTCTCTCTCTCTCTCTGTCTCGACATCTCTCTGCGTGCGCGATGCTCGGCACACATTACAGCCTCCGGAGTAAAATATAATAATAATAAAAAAAAAGGCATAAGGTATAAGAGAGAGAGAGAAGGTAAAAAAAAATTTCGTTCATATATTATACGGTTACAGGCGCCGTACATATCGTATACGCAATACTACGCGTATGTGTATGTGTAGCTTTCCGAGCTGTTGCAGTAAAGGCAATACACAACAACAACAGCAGCAGCAACAACAACGCACGAGATACTTGTAAAATATTAACGAAATTCTCGAACGAGCCGCATAAATAATTTCGCTGCGTATAAGGGGGGGGGGGGGGGGGGGGGGNGGGGGTCGAGACGCGAGGTAAAAAGCACGCGAGCCAACGCGCAAAGAAAATATAAATAATTATCCGGTTCGCGCTTGCAAGCATTAAGAGCCAAGTCATCGCATCCATCCATCGTGTGTAACTCTGCGAGAGGCTGCGTATAGCCGCGCGGTAGCGGGCCGAAAAATTTCGTTATTATATGTATTATTATAAACTTCGACGGCGCGGGGGCTATCAATCATCGTTTCTGCGCCGCCGCGTTCGCGGACAACGATACGAGCTCAAATTAAAATCGACGAGCGCGCGCGCGCGTGGCGTCAAAGTTTGCATATACACACACGGACACATTTTATCCTTTCGCAATTGCGGATCTATAGTGCGCGAGGCATTATTATATGCATCGAGATATACATAATACGTAATGACAACGAAGTTTTACGTCACTATAAGCATCGGTGATAATGCTGCATTATAATATAACGCCGAAGAGAGAGAGAGAGAGAGAGATGACCACGCGACCGTGTGTGCATGGATATAAAGCGAGATATCCAGTGAAAGAGAATCTTAGGCATAAAGGAGGAGGACACGTAGCTACTTTCACATGTATCGGCGCGATAAGCTCGCTCGACGAGACGAGACCCCGCGGGACGCCTCAATAATAATACGAGGTAAAATTCAAATGTATGTGCACCAGGGTATAAGGCCAATTTTCACCTGCGACTCCATATATAATGCGAGCGAAGAATAATGAGCTTGCGTAATTTTGCCCAATGGGGTGAACGAGAAGCTAGATAGAGAAAAAAAAACGTCTATATCGGCGAGAGATAGATTCTCCACAGTGTCGCAACGATTACGCGCGGTAAATTTTCGGACATCGGCATGCATAATAATATCTGCATAGCTGATTTTCTGCATTATATATACGTATACGAAGAGGGACGAGGCGTTCGAGCTAATGTATAATAGAGTGAATACGCGCACGCGTGCCTGTCGCAACACATTAAATGCCGGCTGGGCTGCGCGAGCTCGGCGATGAAAATGGGAAAAGTCGAACCGTGGCGTCGGTTAGAAGCGCAGCTGTATACGAGGATCAGCGAAACAAACAAACAAAAAAATATTTGCGCAAACTTTCTCGGCTTCTCGATGGACGCGCCGCTGCGGTGGTGGCTAAATAACTTACGTAATGCTCGGTGTAGTACAGAGCCGCGGTACATCGCTCGGCAGCTATATCGAGAGAGAGAGAGATCCTTTTGCTAATACGAGCGCTGACTCATTCATAAAATTATAAAAAGCGCCTCCGCGGCATCGTATATATATGAAGTATCCCACGCACTCTTCGCTGCTGCAGTCCCTTTACCGTGCAACATAGGGGGGTGATGAGTTTCTTAGTTATTTTTTTTTTTTCAACGAGACGTTACATTATTACAAAGTGAGAGAGAAGTGTCATGCGCGCGCGTAGAGTATATAATAATTACGAGGTATGACGAGGCAAAGATTCGTCCGTTCAATGTATTGCCAAGGCGGCGGTGGTATATATGCACTCGGTGATTCGTGCAACTCTCTGTGTTTGTTTAATGGGGTTGAAAAATTGCCAGGCCAATTCGCGCGCGCGCGCGCATTTCATTATATATCATATACTGGTATAACGATGACGTCGATGATGAAAGAAACGCGACCCGACGCAGCGAGGAGCAGCAGCAGCAAATGAAAAAACACACACACACACACACAAATTGTGAAGCTTTCTCTCGTTGCAGCGCGCGGCGGTATAATAATCGCGAAAAATCGATAAATCGCGAGTCGATTTGTGCGAATGTGTGTCTATCCGTCCGCGTCCGTAGGAGCTCGTTATATAGCATCGCGTAATAAACTTATGATCCAGAGAAAGAAATCAGCTCGACTATACACATGCAGGCGCATATCTTTTTCTTAATATTCTCTTTGCAATCGCGCGCGCGGGCTTAATTTATAATATGGCTCTATTTATCTAAGAAATGAGTTTCCGGCATCGATCGATCGATCGATCAGTACACGAGATCGCAGCTTCGTGCGGTTCAGCTGCGCATTCAATATTATTCTCCATTGAATTCTCGCGCCAAGCTGAGAGATATATATACACGAAAATTATTAATAGCAATTAAATGAATCGAACATTGCCTCGGACGAATCTGCCCGCGATCACCTTTTCACCTAAACGAACGATCCCTGACAGACGGACGTGCTCACACTGACGCCAATTTGAAGCCTTTGTATATGGTGAAAGCTCGCTCGGGTGGTGCCGCTGCTCTCGGCAAAAGTCGAAATCGATGACCGAGCAAGAGCGATTCGTTGCCCGAGATAAAGCTCGCGCACGAGTGCGATTGTCTATATAGACCGAGCTGGTGCTCGTTCGCGCGTTTGAATATAATTAGCGCACCGAGAGATAAGTAAAAAAAAATAAACATTAGGAAGGATTTCGCCGTGTACTCTTTCTTTTCGCGTCGAACGATCGTAATCTTGCGCGCGCGAACAATGAAAATTTCGGACTAGAGGCTGCCGCGTTTACGCGCGCGCGTGCGCGCACTCGTAAATAACTACACACGTGTTTACGAACAGGTGTCATAACGTACATAATATATTCGTACCTCCTCGTGCACCGCGATGATCGTAAAGATTCAACGTATTTGCATTTTTCTCAACGGACTCGCGGCCTTTCGAGGCGTAATATACATAATTGCGCGGAAAAACGGCGGCGTGTATATTATACGGATATCAGTGCCGAAGTAACGCGTGTACGCATTTTTCAATGGGAATCGCTTATATAGCTTACGAAAGATCGCGCGCATTAACGCGTCAAAATCGATCTCGCGGTCGGATCGTCGTCGTCGTCGTCGTCGTCGTCGTCAGCGGCAGCGGCACTCGACGCCCACGCACACGAGCGTCGTTTCGATACGCAGAGAAAATTCGAAAATTAACCCACAATCAGCGCACGAAATCTCGCGAGGTGCGTACGTATATTGTAAATGCACATATTTACATAACCGCGAGATGTATCTGTACATCTAACGCATGTGTGCGTGTGTGTCTGGGAAAATCGATGTTTATAATTTATAATGTATATCGAGCGCAGCTCGGCAGGATTCGATTGACCGATGCAGCCGTGAGAGCGTATAAGTAGTAGAGAGAAAGAAAGAGACGATGTCACCCGGTACACTGCGCGGTGCATTAAAAAAACTGCGTACACACGTGTGTATGTGTGTGTAAGTGCCGCGAGTGATTTCCGCATTCTTCGCTTTTTCGTACATATATGTGTATATAAAACGGCGATACACGTAAAAACAATTCGATATCAGCGGCGGTGACGACGGTGGCGGCAGCAGCGCGGAGAAAAATGTTACGTAAAGGATTACGCGCTTGTGTCTCCGCTTATACGTATGCGCCGTAGATAGACGATCATTACAAGTATGTATACAGCACATACGCCAGAAGATGCACAACTGCGCCGAGCGCTCTTATCGACATAGGTAAATAATAAATAACGTCATCGGTCGAATCGGCTTTCGCGATGCACTCGTATATATGCACAGACACGTATACACGTACACACAATGTGAATCCCGGCATACCGTTGGTGAAAATAAAAGTTACTTTACTAAAGAGAGAGAGAGAGAGGATTCCAGCTGACTTCTTCTTTTTCAATTTTTATTTCGTCTCAGAATGCGCTTTTCTTCTGGATTTCAATCCGGTGATCGCGAGGGATGCGGTGAATCAGAGATTTTTTATTTCATAAGTAAAATATGCCCATAGCTTGTTCAATAAAAGGTTGTTTATCAACAAAAGAACATAAGCGAAGAATATGGATACGTATGAAAGTGCAGGGAAAAATTTAAGGCTGATCATATCAAACCAAATTCAATTTATTAAATTCTTCTTTCATTTTTGCAGAAAGCTTCCCTTCTTAATGTTACAATTGAAACGATTAAATAAGATTACAAATAATAGCTCGATATACTCAATTAATTACTTATGATCATCAGAGTATCAATAAGGCCAGTTACAATTTTTTTAAATCATAAATAATTTATGCCAGGATAACCCTCATGTACGAAATCGGGAAAGCGGTCCAGTGCATTACTCATTTCGTACAAGATGAACGTCAGATAATCTGATACTTTGGTGTGTGACTCCGGAATGCCGCTCGCGCATGGATTGGCTGCTCCAGACATTATGCCCAAGACTACTTTTTTATCTAAATCGACCACTGGGCTACCGCTGTCTCCCTGAAATTTGGCAAGAGTATCGATGAAATTAAGAATTCGTCTCTTGCGTCATGAAATAATTTTCATATAATATATTGAACTTACCGGACAAGGGCCATGGAAATCGGGTCGGTAGGTGCAAATTTTATGTGTAGATACTGGAGAATTCCATATCTTTTCACAAAACTCATGAGACACAGTCTTTGTGAGAATCGCTCGCAGCTCCTTTGTCACGAATCGAGAAGTAATGTTCGATCCCCATCCAGCGATCCAAACAAAGGTTCCCCCAGCTACGTCAGAATTTAAATTTGGTAAGGCAATTGGCTTGATTTTTTCAGTAAAAGTCACAGGTTCCTTAAGCTATAAAAATAAGTAAGTTAAATAAAATTAAATTGTTCAATAATTTAATTAGTGACAAAATGTATACATACTTGAATAACTGCAACATCGCCTACTAGACTATTTTTATCGAAGTCCAATGAGTGGGCTACTCTGCGAACATGGAACTTTGTATATCCGCGTTTCCAGTTAGTCGAGCCAGCTCGAATCTCAACGTAGCTGACAGGATTTTTGAGAACGTTTTTGACGCAATGTGCAGCAGTGAGGACATGTTGATCAGAAATCAAAGCACCACCGCATTGATAATGATTATTAACGATGATCGCTACTTGGTACGGAAATTCTTCGATTGACGATACGTATTCGCCTTTGTTGGCTATTCTATACCTTCGAGCTGCGATCTAAAAAATTGAATTGATTTAAAATTACACGGTAAAGTATTAAATAAATAACTGTAATAGTTTTATGTTACTAGTAAGGGAGAAATTATGAACAAAAATTTTAAAATCTTATACATTTTGTCAACTAGCCAAAACTCTTTTTTCAGAAACCAGAAAAAAACGCTGAACGACGGACACTTATTTCAAAACTACTTCGAATATTTTTTTATTGTCAAGCGTTTTATAGGCGACTAAAAACTATTAAGTGGAACGTTATCGCGTCAAAAGTCACTGTAGATTAGTCTTGTAACTTTCAGTGTAATGTGCATATTTACTTATTAAATAATTTATTTTTATTTTCAAATTTCACAGGCCTAGTGTACTTTTGATACGATGCATGTGCTTATTTGTTAAAGAAAATAATCTATTTTCATTCCAAAATTACTTCATAAATTCTACACGTTTTGTAGGCTATTAAAAATCATCACTGCATCTGAAATTTTTTGCATTATAATCTAGTATACTTTTCGTAGGTGGTATGAATTGTAACAGTAAAAGTTACAACAAATTGTGGTAAATGATAATTGCAATGATCACGATAGCGACTGGGTTCAAAAAAGCCCAACCAAAAACGTGATGAGATTTTTTTTTCGTGTAATTCAAGCTTTAAAAAAAAACATTTTTAAACTTGGCGATCTTTTACTTCGAGATGTAATCATTTAAAAGGAAAAATGCAAAGAACAAAAATATTTTAAAACTAGTCAAAGAACACAAAAAACAATTTAGAATTTTTTTGAGGATATTTTTGAATTTCGAATGCGACGCTTTTGGCAAGCCCTCGGTGTAGTCATATGGATTTTTGAATGGATCGTAGATACGTAGTTTTTTTAATTTCCTTTAATCAATAAATGAAAAAGTTTGGGAGCGAGGTTTCATGCAACTTGATAAATAAGTGCCATTCTAGTGGACTAGAAAATTTAAGAAATTGGAAAAAGTAATTTTTTTGTGTTAATTTATCTATTTGAATGACTTGAAGAATTGAATAAAAACAGACATAAAAAAAATGTTATAAGTAACGAACTTGGCCTGCCGCCATCTAGCAAATACCTTTCTTAAGATACGATTAAGATACGACCACAGCAAAAGTTGAATAATTTTACATTATCATGTTCTCTCAGAAGCAGAACCTGCGCTAATTCAAAATACCTTCTAGGTATTACAGTCTACGAGAGTACAGAGCGCATCCAGTCTGCCGCGATACTCGATCTCGTGGACGATTTCTTGCAATATTCGAATAACATAAATTGTTATCGAGACAAACTAACTCATTTTCTTGCCTAACTAAAATTTTCCTCGTTATAAAGTCTCTTCTCTGTTTTTTTTAAGCATAAATCGCGTACCTACATCTCCATAAGATGTACGTATACGATAAATAATTGACGCATTTTGACCGAGGACAATGGACACGCTCGGGCACATCGATAAAGCTTATATCACCGGCGCGCGTATCGCGTGTATAAGTTTTCCATTATTACTTTCCTTCTAATTGTTTCGCGCGATGAAAAATCACCTCGCCGATCGAATCACTATTGTCCGAGCCCATGTGGATGTATATTATCGTTTCTCGATTCGATATAAAACGATCTATCGTGCGTGTAAAGAAGCAAGTTTCGTTGTGTATCGGCTGATATATGCGCGCGTCATCGTGCGTGCGTTGTGTGTCCGGTGAAAGGTGTCGTCGTCTATGCCGCGAAGAAGTGCCGCTTCATAAAAATTATAAAAAAAAAAAAAAAAATTTCAGCACGGACAAAAAAAAAACGAATCGAAAGTTACGTAAAAGTCGTGGAACGAAAGGCGCTACGTAGTAACACCGGCAAAAGAAAAAGGGAAGAGAACAGAATGCAGGAGGATGCAGTACATATAATAAATACGAAAGGAGCGCACGCCGCGAAGAGAGAGAAAGAGAGAGAAGGATCATCATCAACCACGGCTGAGCGAGGGACGCGAATGTCAAGGCGTGAAAGTGAAAATCGCAAGTGTATTATATACGTCTTTCCCCTCCTACTCCTCTTTCCCGCTGCGACCAGCAGCAGCAGCAGCACATACACGAGGTGGATGATGATTCATGATCCGAGCATAGTATACCACATGTGTATAAGATAATAATAAACGACGAAAGGATCCCGAAGCTCGCGAAAAATGAGAGAGGAGACGATCGTCGCTCGCGAAGCGAAAGTAAACACGAACGAGTGTGCAACGATCTTTTTTTTTTCTTTTTTCAAGTATGCACGAGAGAATCGAAAGACACCCACGCGCATCAATTAAATTCGTCGCTTTCGGAGCTTTCGGACTCTCGCTCACTGCGCGACGGAGCAAATTTGTCATTTTTATTATAATGATAAAAGTTTCGAGTATGCTCTTCGCAGGCAGTGGGTGCACGCGTGTGTTTATAAATACTCGACTCGAATTGCGCAAACGAGAGAGACGAAATTTTCGTCCAGCACGCCGAGACGCTTATAATATATAACACACGCGTGTATGTCATATGGTGTGTATTCTCATTGCGCTCGCGTAACAAAGGAGTGCACAATAATGCAATCCAAGGAGCTAATCTCGAGCAGTCTCGAGTCGTCGCAGTCGTCGTTGTCTGCGGCCTGATTCCCAAGTCGATTTATCAAGCGTACACTTGTGGGGTTTTAGACGCTTTGCTCGCTATAATATAATACTTTTGCAGATGCATATATTATATATGTGTGTGTGTATGTGTGTGTGTTTTACTTTCATAATTCAATTTTCATTCATTTCAATCATTAACAATCAGTTTAATTGTGGTACTGTGTGCTTATTTATATTAATCGGAAACTCGTTTTACCACTTGCACATTTTCAAAACTCCATCTGTTGAAGGAACCATAAAGCTCATTAGCTCAATCAGCAGCTGTGTTAGGATATCTGTTAGAAGGGAAATTTTGGGAAAATTAGACACAAAAATTAAAGTCTAATTGGTTTAATGAATTAAAAAACGAACATGATTTTTGTGTATTCATCATGAAGGACTAAATTTGTTTAATGGCCTAATGACCTAAAAATAATTATTTATAATGTTTTAGAATAGCATACCGTTAATTTTCTTATTTTTTTGCATCTTCTTATTTTCATGCAATCATGTTAAAAAAAGTATTACAAATATATTGAATTCTTATATTAAACTTTAAATGAGCGATCATACTATTTAAAATTTACGTTATACACACAATTCTTCCCTCCGGTCACGCCTTTGATTTTGAACTCACTCCAAACTTGCATATAGGCTATGTCATTTTTATATATTATATAAAAATTTATATATTATATATTTATATGAATGTCATTTTTGAGTACAGATTTGAATTCTACATCAAATTTTATATGAAAAAACATGGTTTAGGAAATTTTTTCATATGCACCCAAGAAAGCAGAGTAACAAGCAGAATATCATGTTCTGATTTTAGGATTTTCATAGATGTTCAGGATTTTCATTTTTCATTGTGTTCTTGAAGAGTAAATTGTTAGTTTCAACTTCATTTTTTTGGCCTGCAACATCTGTTGGGAAATAGCCCATATCTAACGCATTTTAATTAATCTGAAATTTAAAATTTAACTGTTTCAAAAAATTTTTTAACCACTCTTCGATTACTTCATACGCAATGTTACTTTACTTTGAACCTCTACCGGTAGATGGTAAGGTATTGTTTTCCGTAAATCTGCAAGTGGTAGAGTAAAAATAATTGTATAAGTAGGCTACGCCATCATAGACATAGAGCCGAAATTTTGTACTGAATAAGTAAATGTAGTTCATCGCTCGGTTGGACTACGAATGCACGTGCATATTTAGATACGCTATGCACGAAAGTATCGATTAGATCCTCTGCGCGGCGACTTTTTTTCTAATGAAGTTAATTTCAAATCTTTATCCCGGCTAGGCTGCCTAAACCATGGTGTCGACTCGGGCGTGACGAGTTTGACTTGATCGTTGAATGTAAATTTATATCTCGGTATGTCGATACCCGAGACTGACTATCGGTCGGTTGGTGATAGTCCAGGCACTAGGTATGATTTCGTATGCAAGTCGAGATCCCCGCGGCAAACAAGTTTTTTTTGTGTTTTTTGGTGTACTGAATCGATTTTTTTAGGGTGCCAAGCGCTAGAACGGTCCGTTCGAAAATTATTAACAAATTTATTATTTATAACGAATAAAATCTCTTTTAAAAAATCTGAGAAATTCACACGGATTCTTTGACTAATTCTAAGACTTTTTTGTTCTTTGCATTTTTTCGTTTAAGACGCTTCTCATCGAGTAAAAAAATCTCAAAGATTAAAAACATGACTCGTTTCTGAAAAAATTTGAGTGTAAAAAACCACCTTTATGATTTTGCTTCCTCATAGAGGAAGCTTTGTGATGGGCTCCATTTCGGCTTTTTTATAGAGTAATCGTAGGGTATATTCAATGATATTTCTATATACTAGATCGAATTTCTGACACATGTTGGTATGTGTGTGTGTGTGTGTGTGTGTGTGTGTGTGTGTGTGCGGCTGTATGTCTGTGTAGAGTGATTCCTCGATAACGGTAGCACGTATCGTGACGGGGTTTGGCTTATTTTGTTCGTTATTATGTAAGGATGAAGCCAGAAAATTGTATTTAGCGATAAAGGAAGAAAAAAAATTTTTTTTTCGATTTTTAAAAATTTTTGGAAATTTTTTATGTCTGTGTAGAGTGATTCCTCGATAACGGTAGCACGTATCGTGACGGGGGAGGGCTTTTTTGTTCGTTATGATGTAAGGATGAAGCCAGACAATTGTATTTAGCGATAAACGAAGAAAAAAAATTTTTTTTTCGATTTTTAAAAATTTTTTTTACGGGAAAAATTTTTTTTGCGGGAAATTGTCGTTTTCTTCCTTTTGCTCCCTCATATAGGAAGTTTTGTGATGGGATACATTTAGGCTTTCGTATATAATTATCGTAGGATATATTTAATGATATTTCTATATACTAGATCGAATTTTTGACACATTTTGGAATGTATGTGGGTGTATGCGGCTGTATGGCTGTGTAGAGTGATTCCTTGATAACGGTAGCACGTATCGTGACGGGGGAGGGCTTATTTTTTTCGTTATGACATAGGGACGAAGCCAGAAAAATTCATTTATCGATAAACGTAACGTTTTTTTTTCTATTTAAGAAAAAAATTTTTTTTTTTTTGCATTGTTTGTTTGAGATACCCGATAAAGCTGAGAGGCGCTTTCGTTTCGCTTTCGTAATTAGAAAGATGATATTAATATTTTCAAATTATTTTTAAGTTAAAAAAAAAAGTATGAGGAAGCTACTTGCCAATACATTGGCAGCGGTTTTTATCTATACTACAAAAAAAAAGTTCTCTACAATTTTTTTAACGCCCTGTAGGTCGTTTTGAAGGTACGATTTGTGTACGCAAAATGACCAGAAAATTGTGTTGATTTCAGCTAAACGAGGGATTTACGTACTGTAAATGGTACCTTCAAATCAACCTACAGGGCGCAAAAATTATCGCAGAGAGCTTTATTTTTTTTAAATTACTCGTTGCGATGGTGTATGGTAGATTTCGATAAAAAAATTACTGTGGTACTGATGCCCGTTCAAACAATCAATTCTTTTCAGTAATTTTTAGTGTTGCGCTCAAATACTACTGATAACTTGATATTATATAGTAAGTAGATATTTTTTTCTTTATTAATTTTGTCTTTCTTACACTGTAATTATTTAATGCCTGTAAATATTATTATTATTATTTTTGTCATTTTTACATTGTAAATAATTAATGCCTTGTAAATAAAATAAGTGCAGATGCCCTAGTTGGTAAAAGCACTATAAAAAAAAAAAAAAAATACGCTCACACGTCTCGTGGCATATATCTATTATGGTCGCGGCGGTCGTCAGACTTTGCAGATCCATGTGTGTGTAATGCACCTCGTAACTTTTTCATCTCTCAAATGTGCTCGACGATTATAACGACGACATATCTTTACGCTATTTTGCGAGTTATATAAACGCGCGCGCACGTGCCTAAACTTATATCCCAGCTATATATGTATAACTTTTGTGCGCGGGGCGCATTATATGAAATTATGAAATTTTCAATCTTCTCTCTCTCACTCTCTCTCTCTTAGCAGCGGAAAAAGATAGATGTATATAAAATAATAGGCAGCTCGCGTGCGTTATACATATTAAAAAGAGCTTCATCATCGGCGATTAATTAAATGTAATGATAAGGCCCGATTAAAAGAAAGGTATAGAGAGAGAGAGAGAGAGAGAGAGCGCGAAAATACATACATGTACACAGAGGCGTTAATTGCTCTCTCAGCTGCGCGACTGTAAATGGCTTTGGGCGCGCTCTTTAAGCGCTTATTAAAGTCACACGTCTATCCTGTGTGTATGCCCGATGTCTCGCGCAAAGTACCGTACACAGCACGTCGTGACTCGCGAAGGAGGAAAAACAATGCACGCTCAAGAAAGTCTCGGAGCGGTCTAGAGCTCGAGACATACTTCTGCACGGGTACGAATGAAAAAATAAATAATACAATCCTCGGCGCGCTAATCATCGGCGAAAGCCATCGCCGCGCGAGGGCTACTTTATACTATTAAATATACATGCTGTAGCCTTTTTTTTCGGGTGAAAGCGACGCGAGACGAATCATTATTACGATAATATAATAATGTATTCGATTATTATCGTAACGTATCGAATCGCTGCAAAAAAAAAGGCGTGGAAAGTCGTAATATATACCGTACGCGCGTATACGCGAGTGCGGGAAAATATAGACAAACTTCCTGATCGCGCATGTGCCGAGAGAGGGTCAAAGATCGCAGCTAGCCAATTACTGTATACAGTCGCGAGCGAAGGATCGAGATTTTCGAAGAAAGAGTCTCTCCGCGAGCCGAGCTGTGTGCAGCTACTATACGGATACTCCTTTCTCCCTCGTAAAACGCCGCCGACGCTGTGTATTATACAGTCGGTGCAGTTTCCACACCTATATACACACACACACGCGTGTACGATATTTTTATATATTATTAAACACGCGGGATTAAGATTTTCGCGGGGAAAATTACTCGCGAGTATTAAAATCGAGCATTTATTATCACAGATATGACGAGATGAAGATATACGATAAGCCGAAAGTTTGGCTCGCGCGTCTTTCGATTACCTCTTCCTTTCTTTCCAAGCGCGTAGCAACATCGAAGGATCGGTGAAAAAAAAAAGGAAAGAGGAGGATATGTGCTACCGAGTGTTGTGTGCGTGTCGTTTTGCTTCCGAACCGTGCAGTCACGACGACTAAGACGACTACGAGTCGCAAGAGGAGGCGAAAGTGCACAGCAGCAGAATCAGAGGCGCTTACAAGGCATTTTATCTTATATATGCTGCTTATACTATACATACACACACACGCGCTTCCTTACTGTATATATACTAAACAGTCGCAGCGACGGGCTGAGCTGTTTCACTGATGCATTTCTGTTGTTCTAAAGTACAGGGTTTTCTTGTTTTTTCCTCCTTTTTTTTTCTTGTATGCGTTTAAATTTGATTTCGTCGCTTTGACGCGGCCGATCATCGCGTGTATATGTGCGTGTGTATATCGCAGTGCACCTGCGCGCGCACGACAACAAGTGCGGCACCTTACGTTTAGCAAAATGATTATACTAGCGGCAAATAGCTAGTCCGCTGACAATGGTTAGTCTTTGGCTGCCGCGCGATATATACATAATTTAATAATGCATCTACGCCCACTATATAGTCGCGACCGAAGACTTTAAGCGCTGAGCCGTGTGCCTCCTCAGCGACCTCCGTCTGAAACGCGATTTCGCGGTTAGATCCATTGTTCGGCTACGTTATTATAACGCGAATGCGTCAAGCTTTGATCCACGCGTATTGGGACATTTAACGGGCTATGCTTTCGAGACGCTGCAATTATAAATATCGTACATTGATCAAGCATTCAGATATGATCAGCTTCTCATTTATTCTCGAGGCTTTGCCTTTTTTCTTGCGATTTTGCATGAAATTCTTCGTGCACCATCTAGCGGTAATTTAGGAATCATTTGATTTTTCGCTCAAGAAAAACGATCGAGGACTTGCATGTTGAGTGAGTGATTTCATTCAAGTTTTTTTGATACAGAATGTTTGTTTTTCAATTACATTTTGACTTGCTTGAATTTTAATATGTATAGATTTCTTTTTTGAATTTTCAAGACTTTATTTTTCATGCTTTTTTTTTTTTTTAATTTATCAACATTTTTCCATTTTAGATAGTTAATATTAGAGAAGTTTTACTTCTGATGGCAGTCCATAGACAGCTAACTTAATATTTTAAATTTAGTTTTCAAATTTGTAAGTATTCTTTTTTATTGAATTAAATACTTGCATTGTTTAATACTTATATTAAGGGAACAGGAGAGTGTTTCAAGCCTATATTTAAAAAAACTTCAAAATTATCGAAATAGTTCAAACTGTTTTTGTTTTGATGATAAAACATATTTATTCTACATCTGATTGGTAAACTCTGGAAAACAGACTATTGTGTTATAATCTATAACTGAATATTAGGGTGGAGCGAAACGATCGAAAAATTTTAAATCACTTTCTAATTGCGTTCAAAGTTAAGCTTTTACACAAATAAAACAACAAACGTTGAGTAGACGTTAACTAATGCAATGCAAACCTTATGATCTTGAAGAGAGTTTATCATCATTATTCATCTATGGGGTGTCAAAATCTTTAGAAAAGTACTTTGATCCGTTCGAGCGGAGCAGAATATGTAAAAATTGTGTACAACTTTATATACCCGTCCAAATGTGACAATTTTTAAGAAAATCAATATTTTATTAACACTAAATGCCATACTTAAGCTTTTGAAGAGAAGCAAATTTATTTTCAATTTTGGCTCCGCTCAAGTGGACGAGGCTACTTTTCTGATGATTTTAACACCCTATAGATGAATATTGGTAAAAAACTCTATTCAAGATCATGTGACTAGTGATTTATAGCATAATATTCAGTTATAGTTCATAATACTATAGTCCGTTCTCCAGAGCTTGTGTAGAAGTTTTTTTTGGTCAATCAGGTGTAGTATGAGCATGTTTTACCATCAAAATAAAAGAATTTTAACTATTTTGATAATTTTGAAGTATTTTTAAATATAAACTTGAAACACCATCTTGTCCTCTTAAAGAACCAATTTAAATTATGACATCGATTAACCGAAGAACTCCTGTACCAAAAGCATTGGATCATGATTTTCTTCCACCGTAGGCTAACATTACTTCCCAATACGGGCAGCAAACATTACTTACCCACAAATAATCTAACGAAAGCGAATTTCGATTCGAATTTCGAAGCGGTCTATGCTGCGAACTCGGACCGTTGCATTGCAGTCCTCGCGCAGTCGCAGTCGAGCCGGGTTTTTTTGGTGAAAGTAGCCTACAAAAGTACAGCAGCTGCAGTAGTACAGTCGTTCTTTTTCTCTCGCGCTGTGCGTTAGTTAGTGCCAGCTCCGCCGCTGCCAGTTACGACCTCGTGTTCGTACGGTCGAGCCACGTGTTTTTCGTCGCGTTTCAGTACAGGTTACGACGCTAAGAAGATCTGCAACGACTGCAATAAGTGATTATAAAAGTAATAAATATCTGTGTCTGTGTGTGTGTAAACGCGAATAACGATGTCCTTGAGAGTGGTCGGTGATCCAGAATTATTTGAAAAATTAAAGGACTTAATAAACAAGATTAATTGGAATATCGAAGAAGAGCGATGTAATTTTCTTGTTCAATTCTTTCTAATGATTTGCCAAGACGTTGGAACCGAGTATCCATTTCCTGCGGTTCAGCACTATTTGCGTCCCGAACAGATTCAGCGTCTTCTCTGGGATTCCATAAATTACGAGGACAAAGAGCTCGGTTATGATCCAGGCGACTTATTCATTGAGGTCGCAGGCCTGGAAGGATACAAAGACGAGCCCGACGTTGATGAAAATGGAATTATATCGCCGCGTCGCTCCACACCAATACATCAAGCGGTTAAAAACTGCGAAAAGCCCCGTGACTGGATTCAGGTGATAGGTGACCTTTTTCAAATCTACAACAGGTTTGATGTGAACTACACCGACGAGACGGGCTACACGCACTTTCACGCGGCCTGCCAGTTTGGCTGCGTCGAAGCCGTTCAGAGCTTTCTCGAACACGGACAGGATCCCAATTGTATCGTGCCACAAACGGGTGATTCAGCACTACACATTGTCTCGAGTTGCCCAGAATTGAACAACGATATGATGGTATTGCTGCTGAGAGGAGGCGCCGATTCAAACTTAGCCAACAAGCAAGGTTTGACACCTTTGCACACCATTGCCGAATTATGCTGGGATGCCAAAATAGTGATAGAGCAATTCTTCCTGACCAATGACGAATTGAATCAGCTGGTGCATATCGACGCCCGTGACAAGTTGGGCAATACACCGCTTCATCTGGCTTTGAAAGAAGGCTGGGCAAAGGTGGTCGAGGTGCTGCTGAGAAGAGGAGCCAGTCCGAACTTAGCCAACGACGGAGGACATACTCCTTTGCATGTTATTTGCGCGAGAGACCAATTTCATGCCGATGACTTGGCGGAATTTTTTTTCAAGATCAACGACGAGCTCAATCAGCGGGTGCAGATTGACGCTCGGGACAAGTTGGGCAGGACGCCGCTGCAATTGGCCTTGTCAAATCTCGGAGTGTACACGGTCAAGTCTTTGCTGAATCGTGGTGTCGATCTGTCAAACTTCGTACTTCGCAATTCGAGTCAGTTCGACGAGCGCTTCCAGTCGGGCCTCTACAAAGTTATTCGATATAAATTGGGACGAGCATCTAGCCTTTTGGCCGACATCGAGTGCCTAGAGAAAAGAGGATACGAGCTGGACCTAGACGACGCCCTGACGATCATGAAATGTTTCGCTAAGTGGGAATTGTTCGAGAAATCGGTGAACGACGAAAAACTTTTATGCAACGACGAGGAGTTTGAGAGCGCAGCGAAAGGGATAATGGTGAAATCGAACTTGTCGCTGTACGATTTAATCCATTTGCGACCCCAAGAGGCGGCGAAACGAATGACGTATACGGACTACTACGAGTTAACGAAATCGAACAGATTGCGAGATCCTCGTTCCGGAAAGCAACACGAGCCTTGTTATAGACGTGTATGCGAGACGATGTCAAGAAAATTTTTCCTAGACTGGGCGATAGATTCTTTCTACATGCTGATACACTGTCGGCTTCCGATTCTCTGCTGCTACATGATTTTGGAAAATTTGAACAACGAAGATTTATATAATATTTGCTTGGCGGCTGTAGATCCAACAGATAAGGACGGTAAAATAAATGTAATAAAAAATGTATTAAAACGTAATAATGAAAGACCTGTTAGAGCTATTAAAGCTCCAAAAAGGCTAAAAAATGAATAGTAAAAATAATCTATGTCAAAGGAGTACAAAATCTGATTCGTAGAGTATTTGCTTGACGGCGGCAAGACAATCAAAGCTCGTTCTGTTAATTAATAAACTTTAAAAAATTGTATTATGTCTGTTTTTATTTCATTTTTTTGATTCTTCATGTCCTTAAAATAAGTAAATAAACACGATATATACATAATTGAATAATGCATCTACGCCCACTATATAGACGCGACCGAAGACTTAAAGCGCTGAGCCGTGTGCCTCCTCAGCGACCTCCGTCTGAAACGCGATTTCGCGGTTAGATCCATTGTTCGGCTACGTTATTATAACGCGAATGCGTCAAGCTTTGATCCACGCGTATTGGGACATTTAACGGGCTATGCTTTCGAGACGCTGCAATTATAAATATCGTACATTGATCAAGCATTCAGATATGATCAGCTTCTCATTTATTCTCGAGGCTTTGCCTTTTTTCTTGCGATTTTGCATGAAATTCATCGTGCACCATCTAGCGGTAATTTAGGAATCATTTGATGTTTCGCTCAAGAAAAACGATCGAGGACTTGCATGTCGAGTGAGTAAGATAAAGAAATTCGGAATTTCATTCAAGTTTTTTTGATATAGAATGTTTGTTTTTCAATTACATTTTGACTTACTTAAATTTTAATATGTATAGATTTCTTATTTGAATTTTCAAGACTTTATTTTTCATGCTTTTTTTTTTTTTAATTTATCAACATTTTTCCATTTTAGATAGTTAATATTAGAGAAGTTTTACTTCTGATGGCAGTCCATAGACAGCTAACTTAATATTTTAAATTTAGTTTTCAAATTTGTAAGTATTCTTTTTTATTGAATTAAATACTTGCATTGTTTAATACTTATATTAAGGGAACAGGACAGTGTTTCAAGCCTATATTTAAAAAAACTTCAAAATTATCAAAATAGTTCAAACTGTTTTTGTTTTGATGATAAAACATATTTATTCTACACCTGATTGGTAAACTCTGGAAAACAGACTATTGTGTTTTAATCTATAACTGAATATTAGGGTAGAGCGAAATGATCGAAAAATTTTAAATCAATTTCTAATTACGTTCAAAGTTAAGCTTTTACACAAATAAAACAACAAACGTTGAGTAGACGTTAACAAATGCAATGCAAACCGTATGATCTTGAAGAGAGTTTATCGTCATTATTCATCTATGGGGTGTCAAAATCTTTAGAAAAGTACTTTGATCCGCTCGAGCGGAGCAGAATATGTAAAAATTGTGTACAATTTTACGTACCCGTCCAAATGTGACGATTTTTTAGAAAATCAATATTTTTCAGCTTACTAGCCCGTTTGAGGCGTATTTCGTACCGAGCGTCCTCAATGGGTAATGCCGTCGATCTCAGTCGAGCAGCGCGGCGCCACTGTCCTCGCACTATAATCATGCCTCCTGGCACTATAATAATGATTACAGTGCGAAGAGGTGAGTATAGCGAGCGCTCGTTTTTATATGTCGTACGTATAACGTAGCACAGCGGTGCGTATAGCGGGTTGCCACGCTCACTCACTGTCCCTCACTCGCTTCTGCGCAGATCCGACTTAACCAAATATTTTTTATATTTACGTATACCGCACGATGGATTTAAACTCAAACATTGGGCATAATGCCGACGAAAGTGGGTCCAGCAGTAGTGAAGACGAAGATTACGAATCGTATATACAAGAACTAAAAAAAATCATATACATAAAGCTCGCCTTCGGCTCGCGACGAGATTTGCTTTGAACAATTTATTAACCAAGGTCGAAAGACCGAATGGCAATTAGCAGTAAATTACAATAATATATATATTTACAAATAAAACAAGCATAAAATAAGCTAAATAATACAAAAATATGCAAAAATTAAGCCAGATAACAGATATTCAGGTACAGTTAATCAGCATCATATTCAAATATTATGACTAAGAGTATATACAAGTGTAGGTAAAATTAATTGCTATAAGTACGAGAGATTACAATTAATAAGCTATAATACATAAAAATTATTGAGCATTCTGTTGTCTCCTCATGTACTCATGGAAGTCAAAGAGTACGAGTATGGCGAGACACATATAATGCTAATACAGCTCGCCTCCGGCTCGCGATCCTCTCTTGCAACATAACATCTTCATCGACGTTATTGTTAACTGCTTGTGACTGAGCTTCAGCATTAATTGAATCTTTTTAGGTATTGCTCCTCAAAACGGGCAAGTAAGCAGAAAAATTGTTTATACATCAATGGCTGATAACGGGATGATTGCAGCCTCGGCGTGTTTGCAGCGTGGGACACTGTAGTCACCGAGGCCGCGCAGCAAACACACCTCGGCTGTAATCATCCCGTTTCAGCCCTTGATGTGTAAATAACTATTATTAACATTAAATGCTATACTTAAGCTTTTAAAAGAGAAGCAAATTTTTTTTCAATTTTTGCTCCGCTCAAGTGTTCGAAGCTACTTTTCTAATTATTTTAACACCCCATAGATGAATATTGGTAAAAAACTCTTTTCAAGATCATGTGACTAGTGATTTATAACATAATATTCAGTTATAGTTCTTAATACTATAGTCCGATCTCTACAGCTTGGGTAAAAGTTTTTTTGGTCAATTAGGTGTAGTATGAGCATGTTTTACCATCAAAATAAAAGAATTTGAACTATTTTGACAATTTTGAAGTATTTTTAAATACAGGCTTGAAACCTTATCCTGTCCCTTTAAAGAACCGATTTAAATTATGACATCGATTAAGCGAAGAACTCCTGTATCAAAAGCATTGGATCATGATTTTCTTCCACCGTAGGCTAACATTAATTCCCAATACGGTCATCGAACATTACTTACCCACAAATAATCTAACGAAAGCGAATTTCGATTCGAATTTCGAAGCGGTCTATGCTGCGCACTCGGACCGTTGCATTGCAGTCCTCGCGCAGTCGCAGTCGAGCCGGGTTTTTTTGGTGAAAGTAGCCTACAAAAGTACAGCAGCTGCAGTAGTACAGTCGTTCTTTTTCTCTCGCGCTGTGCGTTAGTTAGTGCCAGCTCCGCCGCTGCCAGTTACGACCTCGTGTTCGTACGGTCGAGCCACGTGTTTTTCGTCGCGTTTCAATACAGGTTACGACGCTGCAGCGACAACAGCTAAGAAGATCTGCAACGACTGCAATAAGTGATTATAAAAGTAATAAATATCTGTGTCTGTGTGTGTGTAACCGCGTATAACCATGTCCTTGAACGAGATCGAATTCGACGGTGATCCAGAATTATTTGAAAAATTAAAGGACTTGATAAACAAGATTAATTGGAATATCGAAGAAGAGCGATGTAATTTTCTTGTTCAATTCTTTCTAATGCTCAGCCAAGACGATGGAACCGAGTATCCATTTCCTGCGGTTCAGCACTATTTGCGTCCCGAACAGATTCAGCGTCTTCTCTGGGATTCCATAAATTACGAGGACAAAGAACTCGGTTATGATCCAGGCGACGCATTCATTCAGATCGTAGAGATGGATGGATACAAAGACGAGCCCGACGTTGATGAAAATGGAATTATATCACCGCGTCGCACCACACCAATACATCAAGCGGTTAAAAACTGCGAAAAGCCCCGTGACTGGATTCGAGTGATCCGTGACCTTTTTAAAATCTACAACAGGTTTGATGTGAACTACACCGACGAGACAGGCTACACGCACTTTCACGCGGCCTGCCAGTTTAGCTGCGTCGAAGCCGTTCAGAGATTTCTCGAACACGGACAGGATCCCAATTGTATCGTGCCACAAACGGGTGATTCAGCACTACACATTGTTTCAAGTTGCGAAGAAGTCAACAACGATATGATGGTATTGCTGCTGAGAGGAACAGCTAATCCAAATTTAGCCAACAAGAAAGGTCGGACACCTTTGCACACCATCGCAGAATTACGCTGCGATGGCGAGATGGAGATAGAGCAATTCTTTCTGACCAATGACGAATTGAATCAGCTGGTGCATATCGACGCCCGTGACAAGTTGGGCAATACACCGCTTCACCTGGCTTTGAAAGAAGGCTGGGCAAATATGGTCGAGATGCTGCTGAGAAAAGGAGCCAATCCCTATTTAGCCAACGGCGAAGGACATACTCCTTTGCACGTTATTTGCGCGAGAAGACAATTTCATGCTGATGACTTGGCGGAAATTTTTTTCAAGATCAACGACGAGCTCAATCAGCGGGTGCAGATTGACGCTCGGGACAAGTTGGGTAGGACACCGCTGCAATTGGCCGTGGCAAATCTCGAACTGTACACGGTCAAGACTTTGCTGAATCGTGGCGTCGATCTGTCAAACTTCGTATTTCGAAATTCGAGTCAGTTCGACGAGCGCTTCCAGTCGAGTCGCTACAAAGATATTAGATATAAATTGAGACTAGCATCTAGCCTTTTGGCCATCATCGAGTGCCTAGAGAAAAGAGGATACGAGCTGGACCTTGACGACGCCCTGACGATCATGAAGTGTTTCGCCAAGTGGGAATTGTTCGAGAAATCGGTGAACGACGAAAAACTTTTATGCAACGACGAGGAGTTTGAGAGCGCAGCGAAAGGGATAATGGTGAAACCGGACTTGTCGCTCTACGATTTAATCCATTTGCGACCCCAAGAGGCGGCAAAACTACTCACTTATGAGGACTACTGCAAGTTTGTATGGTCGAACAGATTACGACTCTTGCCCGAAGAATCAACCAGAACCGCTTGTGTCGTGCATCTGGCCGAAAAGATATCGAGAAGATTTTTCCTAGACTGGGCGATAGATCCTTTCTGGGTGCTAATACACTATCGGCTTCCGATTCTCTGCTGTCGGATGATTTTGGAAAAATTGAAAAACGAAGATTTATATAATATTTGCTTGGCGGGTGTAGGTCCAACAGATAAGGATGGTAAAATAAATGTAATAAAAAATGTATTAAAACGTAATAATGAAAGACCTGTTAGAGCTATTAAAGCTCCAAAAAGGCTAAAAAATGAATAGTAAAAATAATCTATGTAAATGGAGTACAAAATCTGATTTGTAGAGTATTAGCGGCGGCCAGCCAATAAAAGCTCGTTCAGTTATAACTAAACTTGTCCTTGAAATAAATAAATAAACACCAACAAAATTATTTTTTTTAAATTTCTTAGATAATCTTTTCAATTGAGTTTTGAAAAATTATTGATTCAGTTTTTCATAAATAGTTAGTTTTCATAGTCAGTTCTTCCTTTCGGGAATACGAAAAAAAACCTGAGTACATCCAGCGATGGGTTATGGAACACACCAATCGCACCATTAGAGCGGCTAATTTTTGAATCAATATCAAAATTTTCCGTTATAATATGTGTATAAGATCTATTGATTCGATCTATGTATGTCGAGAATTTATTCGAAAATACTAGGAGACCTTCTCACCTTCGGGTAATGGATTTAGCCCAAAATTTTTCTGGTGATTCAGGACAGTTAGAAAACATGCGCTGTTATTTTAGGTTGAAAAGCCTGCGTTTAGATGAAAAATAAACGTTGAAATAATAAAAATTAGCATATAAAGCGCAATAAATATCCATTTACTACCCTCAAACTATTTTGGTTACTCATTTTAGACACCAGGTTGTTGAAAACATTACATTACATTTCATAAGAAGTTGTTGGTTCTCACTCATGACCCAAAACATTGCAAAATTGTTAAATTATGACATTATAAAGCGTTTAATTTCAATACTTATGGCTTTAAAGACTTAAAATAATTATGATTTTAATACAAGCACTGGAGATCCGACAAGTTC